CTGCTTCCTTAAACTGTGGATAAATGCTGACTTTTTTGAATGTCATTAATTTATTCTCATGGATCTATTCTGTCACTGCTATAAAGCCTCTCTGCTTCTGCTTTTTTATTGATTCTTTCCCTATTGGGCTCTTGTTGTTTTGACTGAATCAACAGAACCGTGTTCTGTTCTCATTTGTGATTTGTCTGCAACATGCAAGATGTTTGATCATTTTTCTCTGCTACTTTTTCTTAATATCACAGAGACTACTCCTTCAAACTTGTCTGGTCTGACTTCTTTCTTCTGCTCCTTCTCCAGTCTTTCAGGCTCTTTGCTAGTCTTCTGTGCTTTGGGAGACTTCTGTGGCTTTAGTTAGCACAGCTTTGAAAATAAACCCCAAACTCAAGGGCTCAGCCTTTAGTTGTTGGTCTCATTTCATCAGCTTTCTTTTAACTCTTCCCTATAACCTCTTACTTCGTTGAAGTCTGTCCTAAAATTTTTTTTTCCTCCAGATCTTTTGCACCACATCCTCTCACTTTTACTACAGATGACAGCACTGTGCTTTCCAGTGCCCCAAATTTTATTCTCCTTCTAGCTCTCTTTTTGTAGCCAGCGCTCATCTGACTTTCATCTCTTATGGCCAGATCCACATTTTTAGCTTCTACTCCAAAACTTATGTGTATGTCTGTTATCTTTTGCCTTGATATAACCTCCTTCTGCCTCAGCCACCTCCTCTTCTCTGTTCTCCAGGGATTGGGATGGATTGTCCCTCCAGGCATCCTGAGCTGCAGTGGGGGTGAGGCTGCAGCTCTGCTGTCCTTGCTGACACCCTGCAGGCTCACACAGGCTGAGCGCCTGGCCTGTCACAGGGCAGCAGTTCCCACTGTCCCCACACTGTGCCTGTAGCTGAGGAGAATGGCAAACGGATGTGTGCTGCTCTGATTGTAAAGCATTAAATATCCACTGCTGCTATTCAAAATGCATTTTGCCCCAGTGTTAGCATACCAAAACAACATTACAGTTGTAGTTGCTATTCTTTCTGCCATATCCACCACACTGGTAATTTGTAGGTTGGTGGTCTCATGTGCTCTTGTACTATTCTTACTGCTCACCATTCCTGATCTTCTCAGATTTATATAAAGGCTTCCCCATTCAAATTCAATTATTAATCTATAAGTGGTAACCAAACAGTAAAGCTCACATATTTAAATGGCATTGTCATATAATAGTTGTGTCTAGGGAGCTGCCCTCTTGGATATAGTGAATATTGTGGCCTACAGTTGTTTTCTTCTCTATCTCTTTTTATAAAATGTTTACAAAAGCCTGTATTGTCATATCCTGCTCTCCTGGCTTTAGAGGAGTGATGAAGTATTTCTCATACAAGTGAGACAAACTGAACTCTGATGTTCCTCACAGTATCTGACTATAGTTTTCACTGACACCTTCACCACTAATCGCATATCTGTATTTCACAGAACATTAGTTAAGCTAAAAATTAAACATAAGTCCCAGAGATTGCATTGTGGCTGAATTAAGAATTTCTGGAGAGCATCCCATTAGGTTCTCAGTGCACTGCAGCCTTAAGATCTAATCAGCATTTCTCTTTGAATTACACAGAACCCAAATAAGTTGTTATCCTAATCTGTGTAGGATCTTACAATATTTGACTTCCTGTAGCCACAATCAGCACCGTGTCAAGCACTGTCATAGCAGAAGTACATTTGCAGAGAAATAAACCAAGTAATGGACTTGACAGGATGAACAACCACTTCCTTTTGCATAGATACTTTGCACAGTTAAGGCTGCCCTGTGACTCTGCCAGTAGGAAGTTCAAAATGCAGCTTTAATTTTTTTTTTCTTTTTTTTTTTTTTTTTTGTTATCACAAGAAACTATGAGAGTGAGATTTGGATTGAAGTAGAGGTAACAATTTACTTAGGGTTTTGCTTATGTTGTAACATGGGTTCTCACAGTTTTGTAGTCAGTAAACATTGTTGGGGTCTAGAGCTTGAGGTGTGCCTTTGTATTCGCGTCTTGGGTGGCGGAAATATAAATCATAAACACAATAAAAGATAAATACTTCACTGTGTTGTGTTGGAAAATACTGTATTTTCAAACTTTTAATGTTAACATTCTAAACACAGTGTTAACTTAAGTTAATGTCTTTTAAGGTGATTATGCCACTTTGAATTATGCCAGTGCTGTTTTCTTAGTTTTTGAAGTTGTGGTTTTGTAATGTGTCATAAAGCATATCTTAGTAGTCTTAGGGTCTTTTCTGCTTTTTCTCACATAGGATATGGCATAATGCCTCACTTGGTTTCCTAAATACTTTGCATGCTTGTGACCTGAGCTGGCTTTTAGATAACAAAATGCTGTAACCTCACATGAGGGGTGAAATGTGTTGTGTACTGTACTCTGTGATCTCTGTGTTCAGTGGCCAGATTGTTTGATTTGAATGTGCCTGGGATTTCACCCTGAAACTCCAGGCCGTGGAAGCCATTGGGAAGCTGCAAAATGCAGCTCTAACTTACATGAATAATTCTTTCTGAAGTGAATGCTGGCAGTCCTGGGATGGCAATGCTTCCATAGCAAACATTGCATATGCAGGATATAAAAGCTTGCTTAGAGTAGATCTGTGAGACTGGGTTTATAACTGCACCATGACCTGATCTTGCTGAAGAGTCATGCAATCTGTGGGCCAAACTGCCTGAGAAATCTCTGGGAAGATCCCCCACAAGAGGGATAAATAGAGTGTGTTCCTACTGCTCCTGGGCTGGATTATTTCTGGGTCAACCCCACCCCCTACTCCAGCAAAGCTGTGGGGAGAGATGGAATCAGACTTGGCCTCATCTTTGGGTACCAGTTTGGGAAACAGCTTGCATTCACCCACTCCTGTATTTATGGATTATAATCTTGATTTAGGACTTGAAAGGAATTCCCCCCTTCAAAAGGAATTCCCCCCTTCACCTTTTTGTGAACAGTTTGCTTGTGATTTACAGTGTTGCATTAGCAATGTGGTCATGTGTAGAATAGAAAAGTGACTGTCCTTACAACAGCTTCCCTTCTGTCTCCTTCAGGAGCCCAGCAAATAGTACTCTGCAAAAATACAGCATTGATTATAACAGTGTTCTGGAGCTTGCTCTTGGTGTTTGTGATGTCAGTGCATCAGGAGGTGTTATAAACAATTAAATTAAATAAAACAAAATATGGCATATTTTCAGCCTTCTAATTTGTAGAAGGAAAATGTGGATGGCAATCATTCAGTTCAGCCTATGTAGGTGGCTTTGCATTCAGTTTACAAGCCATAATCAAGCCTTATTCAGTCCAAGTCTGAGTGGTCTTGAATTGCTTAAACCAATTATTAATTCATATTTTTATTTAGAAATCTTATTGTGGCATGTCTTTCTTTTTTTCTTTCCTTGCCTGTATAAAAACAAGTGTATAAGTGTAAGGCTACATGGAGTCATCAGGCAACAGACATATGCTTTCCTGTGCTCACCACGGGGCTTGCAGGTTCAAACGCAACCTGCTTGAATCATAAGAACTTTAATTGAGTAGATAAAGAGGTCCTCATAATTATAAACTGCAGTAGGTATAACAAGAGGCTAAATACATAGCTGTGGTTTTAATTAGCTGGTGCTTCAAATTAGTAATTGTGGTTTCACTCAGAAATCAGTGACTTTATACACTGTTAAAGCCTCATCACTGTGCAGTTCATTCCTCATTATATCTCTCGGTGTGAAGCTTTCAATACAATATCATGCTGAGCTAAAAAGGCAAAAGTTGTAGATATTTGGTTATCTTCCAAGTGCAGCGGAGCTCTGTGGAGATTTAATTCATTCTCACCAGAGATAGGAGAATTAACTGTTCTTTGTTACAGCTGGAATATGTGTGTTTGTATGTAAGCATCTGTACATCCAGGCTGTGTGTGGATGTGTGCATGTATGGCCAGGATCTATTGGGGAGATGGTGCTTACTGCAGATACCATCAGGGCATGCACTGAATCCGCTATTCAAATTGTCATCTGGAATTCGGGAGCTAATTAACTGACACAAAGCAGAGCCAAAAGCCTGGTAACAAATCAAATGCGGGTTGAAGGCACAGAAGTGTCCCTTAATGCTTGTCACATGAGAGGCTGTCAGTGCAAGTTGAAGTATGCATCTTTTCCTTTCCTCTTTCCTTTGCTATTTTTCCCTCTCCTTCAGGGTTTTAATTATATCTCTTCCCTCAGAGGAGCAGGAGGTAGTTTGCAGAGCCAAGAGACCCAAGTACTTCAGTGTTATTCAGGGGAGAAGTGAATGTGGTCTCTCAGCCTGTCATCTAGGTCTGGCAGGTGCACAAAGCAAGCTGACACACAGATAAGTGCCACTCACCATTGCTACAGCGAGATGCTAGATCCTTTTCTGTGTTTGTGTGTAGAATTATCTGATACTGGAATCAACTATCCTAAAATCTTTTCCGGCAGCTTGCTTCTACAAAACACTTCTTAACCTCTCCTTGACATCTACAATGAGGCCATACATAAATTTTAACAAGAGGTGGGACAGAATTAGGTGGTCTAAATCACACGAGGCTGAACTGGAGCCTTGGGATGGATGTTCAGAGTAATGGATTTGTAGATGTTGCTGTTCTTCCTAGCCTTCACATTTGCTTTCCCTGCACAGACCCATGCTTTGTGTGTGTGTTTGTGTGCAGGTGCACGTGTTTACAGGCTGCTAGTACAAGGATGTCAAAATGTATTTTATTGTTTTGCATAATACTCTGTTAATTTGTAAACAGTATTTTCATTGTTTCATTGAAACACTATCCATTTTAGAAGTGTACTGACTGCGCTACTGCCCAATTTTACGTAGTTTTATGATTCCAGATTTAAATTTGGGAAAATTATTCAGAGGCTGTTTCTTTCAGAATTGTCCTCGGAAGTTGCATTGTTTCTGATGTTTTGTTTCTATTACTGATAGTAATAAACATGTAACAAAATTATGGGGAAAATAATGTGTTGTCATTTTTGTCTTTCCCCAGTCACTATGAGCAAGACCGGAGTGCACTTAAGCGGAAGGAATGGGAGAGAAGAAATCAGGAAGTCCAGCAAGATGAAGATCTCTTTGCTTCAGGTTTTAACCTCTTTGGGGAGCCCTACAAGGTAAATTACATTGTTACCTTTTGCATTTTCAGAATGTCTTACACAAATACAAATAAAGCTTCTGATCACCTCTAAGAAATGGAAGTATTGCATCTGCCTTGGTACTTACACTCTTGAATACACTGATTATCCAAATCAGCATATGGCAGCAGAGCAAACTGAATGTGTTGCCCTCGTTGCATTGGCAGAATCAGGAGTTTTGGTTACAGTCCAGTTCAAGATTTCTTCCTCTTAACACACAACAAAATCCTGCAGTAGAAGTGTGTGCAGCTGGTATTTCTACAAGTGGTTTGTACCTACAAAGCTTAAATAACTTCTTTCACTTTTAGGAAGAAAATATATCTGAGTTTTAAAAACCAATGTCCTCTTTATAAATAACGAGTCCATAATCTTTTTTTGTGCAATCATAACCATCCAAAGCAGTCTTTTGGGGGACTGAATCTTTGGGGAGCATAACAAGGATATGAAAGGGATTTTTGTTACAAGTCTTATTCTCTCTAAGGAGCTTTGCTGCATGAGATTTTCATCACCAAGGGATGTCCCCCTTTATGATTTCTTCTGCTTTGATTTTCAATAAGACATTCCCTAAAGAATTCATCAGAATGTAAATTTCCATATCTCTTTCTCCTCCCAGTCAGTGACATCCATTGAAAGGCCACCACTTCATCTTTCCATTTTACATTGTTAGCAGCTGTAAGGGAAGATGTGGACTCTTTGAAAATCACCCAAAAAGGAGGAGAAAAGACTACCATTACTATCACATGGTGTCTAATAATTATAGGCCATGAAAGTGTGATGGGTGCACTTGACTCCTGGCTGTACTTTGCTTCAGGCAGACTGAGGAGCAACAGACCTTTCTTTCTTGGCATGAATTTGCCAGCTCAAAAGCCACTGGCTCATGTTCAAGAGAGTGAAGATGTCTTGACAAATATTTCCAAAGGTGGTTTTAAAACCCTGAACTGGAAGATAACCAAAGTACAGAGCAAGATATCAGAGCTGAAGTGAAGACATCTATCTTGTCTATTGTATTGATTAGCAGCCAACTACTTTACTCTGTAAATATTGTCACCAGGATGAGCCCAATTTGATCTCTCCCTGAAATGCTGCACTGCACCCCAGGTGACCCTCTGCCTCTCAGGGGGAAATATTCCTTCCTTACCCAAGGCTGAGATCCCTTACCTGTGACATACGCTTGGTAAGTGGCTGATACCATGCTGAATGAATCCTATGGAACATTACCAGTCCATATAGCTACTCAATATTATTGTAAATATTATATGGATAATTCCATTAGACTAATGCAAGTGGCTATTTGGATTTCAGGAGGTAGACCAGTATTCAAAACACTGCAAAATTTTGTGGCAAGAATGAAAATCATATATCACCAATATCTATTGTGTAATAAGAATGACAATATCTGATTTTAGATCTATTTAGTGTGTGTGTGTATTTGCACCAAATGTACAGAGAGCATGTGGTTTCTTTACAAAAACTGAATGACTAAAAAGCCAAAAATTATCTTGATGGTCTTTCTGGGCAAATTTTTTTAAGTTGCTTTTCACCTACTTGGCAGAGAGTTTGTAAACTTAGTGTAAGCAAAATATAATACAATACAACCCTAAGAAAGCATGATAATTATAAATTGTGAAAGATAAAAATTGAGAGAAAATTGTATGCATACAAAAGTAGTTAAATCTTCAGTGGTTAAATCAATCTTAAATTTGAAAAAATGGGTAGAAGCAAAACTAAATAGGAAAGCTAGGTTTTGCCTTCAGTTTACACTAGGAGAAAAAAAGGGATGAAGTGATAGACCACTGTTTCCTTTTTAAGTTCTGCATTGCTAAGACCCGGCCACAGCAAAGTTTCCTATGCACTAATAAAAGCTGAATCTAACTCTTAGTGGATATATAGTGCTTTTTATTCTTAAGTAAGAGCAAAATTAAATTCAGGGGTTTGTTTTCATTCATTCTAAAATGAGATGAAGAGACCCTGATGCGAGAACAAATACCCTGCACGTGCAGTTTGAATTTCTTCTCTGTTTTGAGATGACCAGATGTTTCTGTGTTTATGAGACTTAAGGCCTTGCACAAGAAGCTGCACTTGTCTCTTCTGGTCACACTCAGTGGGAGCAGAGTGAGATAAATCACTGCCCAGCAAAGTGCTGTGGCCTGTGATGGGCACAGCCTCCACATCCTCACTGGGCTGGCTCTGCTGCTGAGCATCAGCTCGTGGTACAGCTGGTACATTGCTGAAAGGTCTGAGGGTGGGAGCTGACATGGAGACTACAGTGACAAGGAGAAGGTTGTGAATAGCAGGTTTCAGGAAATAGGAAACATCTCTTTTTATTTCTTTTGTTCCCAGATCTAGTGTCCTTACTTGTTTATCATTCCTTCCTCATTTGCTTCAACAGTATCCAGAGGAGGGAGTAGGTAGGGTCAGGGTAGGGCAAACCACCACTGCTGTTTCTGAAATTTTAAAGACTGAACAACTGGCAGCTGTTTTAAGACTGCACTAAGAAATTGATATTAAAAGTTGCATTAAAAGAGAAAGGTGCTCAGATTTTCTCATGGAGCCTCCTGCCATTGTGTATCCTGAGATGTGTGGAGTATCTGCCTTCATCTGTCATCTCTCTGCTCTAGCTGTTACAATCTCTTTCTTTCTCTCTGTCAAATAAAACGTGGGTGTTCATTACAGTTTTGGACAAATGCGTGTTTCTACATTGATTCTTTGTAGTTTATGTATGTGTGCACTTACATGAAAAGAGATACTTATTTCTGTGGGTCTATAAAATACATTTTTCCATGCTTGTTAAAAGATAAATGTCTCCTTTTGAAGCTCCACTGTCTCACGTGGGAAAACAACACCTTTGACAATGTGATGACATCCAGCATTATTTTGGAGAGGTCAGGCAGTAAGGGTTGTGTTGCTCTTTAATGCAAGTGGGTTGCAGGTCCTGCCTTCGAACCCTGGTGCAACCTGTTCATGCTGGATTTTGCAGAAGGGATCAGAGAAGGGGCTGCCGTGTAACAGCAACAGACATTTGAAAAAGCACTGTTGGAGCTTTCCTGAGAGAAGCTGTAATTTTACTACTGAATTGTTGATACCTTTTAATGTTTTGAATTACTCACAGATGAGTATTTTAAAAGAAAACAGTAGGAGTATTTTTGTTACATTTCAAAGGAATTGCCTCAGAAGAGTTCAACTTGAGAAAGAGAACCTAATGGGCAGTGTTTCCATTGTGGAGCCTTTGGTGAATATTAAATCATTTATCTTTTTCAGGTAAAGCCCCTCCATGCTTTGCAAGCTTACCTTAAAAAAGATCTCAGCTTCTAATCCATGGAGGTTATTTTAGCTATGAGGCATAAGGAAGTGAATGAATTATGAAACCTCAAGTTTCACACAAATTTTCAAAAAACACTTGTAAATGGGGCCTATAAGTTTGAGTGTATTAGTTCTTTTCTTTGTAAAACCATAATGCAATAGCTAGCTAGCAAATTAGTCTTCCAGTAGGATTCTATTATAGATAGCTTTTGAAAGAAATAGAAGCAAATACAGGAAGATGTGCATTTCCTAAATTAACAGAAGCCTAGAATGCGGGGGAATGCTGCTAGCCATGAGTCATAAACCAGGCATATAATTTATGCCTTGGAATACTCAAAATGCTGCATTTCCTTGATAGCAACAAAATTGTGATTCAGCATGCTATTCAAAAAATAAGGCATACAGAGGTTTTCTTTAGGAAATCAGCCAATTATCCAGCATATGAAGGTAGAAATTGTCCCCATTCTGGAAGTAACAAAGAGCAAGCAGAAATTATGACTGGATTTTGTGTTTCTCGTGCTTGTATCTGGGCTTGTCAAGAATCCTGTGCTTCTTGTGAGAGCCTGGAATTTGTTGTGTAAATAAAGTAAAAACATTAATGTTTTGCCTTATGTCTTAAGTGGAGATGGAACAGTGCACTACATTCCTGAGCTCGTTCAGATTGTGATATGACGCCTAAGTCTGATTTTAGCGTGTGTGCTCTAATTTTATTTAAATGTAAGCTGAATTACCATTAATAATGGTTTTTTTGCTTTGCAGTCTGGTCCAAAGGCCACTGAAAAGAATAATTATCCTTCCATTGACTTCAGTAACCATTGGATATGAGCTGTAGTGTACTTAAAATACACTTAAGAATGTTTAGAATAATTTCATCTCCATGGTTTTCAGTAAATATATTTTTATTAATGTTCCCTGTAAAATGCTATGAATAATAACAATACCTAACATTTATACAATGTCTTCTATCTGCAGGATGTGAACATTAGGCATAAAATAGAGTTAATATCAAGCAAAGTTATATTTATCATCATGTGACGTGTAAAAGAAAATACATTGAGAGAATTAGATACATCCAACATAAAATTATAGAAAATATCTACTTTCGGGTTAAAACATTTTCTCTGTGAGGATCTAGACAAGAGCCATTTAGTGTGCTGGGATGTTGAAGTGTTACAGTTATGATATGTTGTCAGTACCTTTTTCTTTTAACTTTTACTTTCTGGAAAGTAAGCTAAATGCTCCCTGGAAGTGTAGCTGAACCACAGAGGTGAAGGGTGGTGGTCAGGTTTTTTTTTGGTACTGGTATTTCCCATGTTCTATCCCGTAAGGAGTTAAAGTGTTTGGGCAGGGAGGAAACAGGACAAGTATGTAAGTGTTTAGACTTCGAATCATAATTCCTGCTGGGCCCTTAAGCACAATGGAATCTCCTTGTTTTAAATTTGGGGGTTGAACAGAGAAAGGCTGGTTTTGGCTGCTGCCCAAACAGCTCATTGTGCAACTCAGTTGAAGGAGACTGCTCATATACAAAGAGCTTATTCTTGGCTTAGCTAGAATATAATTTTTGCCACTAAAATGACCAACCTAGGGACTTAGTGAATTAAAGTGATTCGTGGTTCTCCACAACTGGGATTATTAACTGTATCAGTTAGGAGCAGTGGCAAAATATATAGAAATGGGGACAACATTGAACAGTTAATTTTTAAATCACTGCCTCAGTGCAGTGCTAATATATGTTACAATCCCTGAGAATGAGCAAAAGGAAATTTGCATTTATTATCTACTTTTTTAAGCATTTTTTATGGCACATTCAGTACTCTGCTCATCCTCTGACTACTTCAGCAGTGTCTACTGTAAGTAGATATTTCAGGAGAAATCCATGCATGAATTTTTTTCATCACTCAAACTTCTCTTTAATACTTGAGGAAAATGGGATCAGGGGCATATTAGGATCCCTCACCAAAGAACTGTGACACTCTAACCAAGCACAAGCTCCTACTGCTGATTTTCCCCATCTTTATGGCCTGGTGTTAAGGCTCCATTGGATTGTGGCACTACTTGTTTTATTGAGTGAAAAAAACCCTCCAAACAGAAGTAGAGTTGGCTGTATCATGACATAACTTTGTCATTTAATTCCAGACTGTAGAGCTGAACCATCTGCTTGAACAGGATCTGTAGTTCAGCTTTGTTTTTATCCTTTGAGTCTTGTAAAGCCATGAGCATGGGGAATAAGGTGTTCTGGTTCTCTGCTGGTCACTTCAATGACAGAAAGGTCAGTAGGAAAGCTGCTGCTTTGCGTCCATGTGGGGTGAGTTAGAACAGGAAGAGAGAGGAAATCAGCTGTGTATTAATTATAGCTTCCAGCTTATTTGTCCAGTTTTTTACAAGAGAAAGGGAAAAGGAAAAAGAAACTTAATGCTTCAAAAGGAAAAGTATAATAGCAGTGAAACAAATATGAGTCAGTATTTATTTAATAATTACTGGAAATCAAAGAAAAGCAGGATTAAGAAATACAACCAGCCTGCAGACAGCAGAAGAATCCCAATGTTAAAGAATGTGGCAATCATGTCTGTTTATGTTCTATGAGAAAATATTTTTGTCTGATCCTTTAGTTGAACCTACCATAGCATGTGGTAGAAGCTTTTTCTTCTCTGGATTCAGATTAGATACTTCAGGTCAAACTCTACTTTTTATGGAAAAGTAATTGAAGTTAAACTGGAGTGAAGAGTTTGGTGTTATTACAGACTACCCAGCTTCTATTTATGGCAGAACTGTGGGTCAAGGGGCTGATAGAGCAATAACGTACTTTTATCAACTGTGAGATTGCAATTCAAATGCTCAGTAGCCAGTAATTGTGCATTCGTGTTTTGAACGATATGAAATGTACAAGCCAAACCTCTCTGACATAAACCCAGCTTATTTTGCGCCTAACATCCATAACTGATGCAATTTAAACACTTCTCTGAGAGCATATTTAAGAAAATGGGAAGCAGTAGACAAGTGTTACTGATGCAAGCCCGTTTCAAGAGATTCTTTGAACACAGTTATTGATAGGTTTTTCTTACATAACATATGCAAAATGTAATTGAAATTTAATTAAATGTCAGCATGACACCATTAAACAGCTAACATTTGCCATCTTCTAAGACAACTGTTCTGAGCAGTAACTTGTAAATCAGGAATTTACTCACGCTTTTCATGTCTTTTTTTTTTTTTTAATATTTTAGACAAATAAAGGCGACGCCCTTGCAAACCGTGTCCAGAACACATTGGGAAATTATGATGAGATGAAGGATCTGTTAACCAACCACTCCAACCAGAGCCACCTTGTAGGAATCCCAAAGAATTCTGTCCCACAGACACCCATTGACAAAAATGAGCAGAACTTTTTCCCAGAACCGAGGAACAGGATGATCCCATCTCATCAGATTAGTGGCAACTCATCAACGTCAATGCCTCCACCTTCTTCATTGTCATCTAATTCTACTTTGCTGCACAGCCACCAGAGCAGCAGGAAGTCGAGGACAGACTGGTCACGCAGTGGTCACAACTCCAGTGGGGCCCAGCCAAGCCAGCCCAGTGGTCAGCAGAGTCGGACAAAGCACAGCTCTTCTCATGACCAGTCACAGGGCAGGTATGAAGATCTCTACAATTGCCAGAGTGAGCAGCATAAAAGTGGGGGAACTGAGGAAGCAAGTGCTATGGCAACATCTTCACATTCAAGGAGGCACACTCATGCAAAGTCAGCACCTGGAGAGCACACTTACAAAGAAAACAGTCATTCGAAGTCACCCACAGAGCTTGAGTTTGTAGGCCATGGTCCTGGATCTCCACTTCCTTCCACTTCTTTGTTAACTGCAAACAATGGTCTTTCAACTCAGAATTTCCCACCTGGACTTCACTGTAAAAACAGCATGGTCCAGCAAAAGCCTACAGCCTATGTCAGGCCTATGGATGGTCAGGACCAGGTACCCAATGACTCACCTGAACTGAAACCCCCAATAGAAATTGAGAGTGGATATGGAAATCAGTCCTTTGGAGCACTGCTGGAAGGAAAAGTGAACACACCTAGTTCGAAGAACAAAGTACCAAAGCTCAACATTCCTCCTGTTAGTGAAGTAAGTGGTTTAAAATATCTTCTCTCTAGTACTGCTTGAGTATTACATTCACTAACTATTTTTCTCTGGAAATATGCAGTTGCATTACTGGAATAAACAATACAGTGTATTCCTTTTTCTAAAATGTGCATGGCTTCTTTCGTTGGTTTGTTATGATAGTCCCAGTAGCAATATTTAATGTAGTTTTGAAAGCACATTTTGGAATACTAACATTTCTTGTTTATGATTAATATTAAAAGCCTAGATCTCTGTTGGGTGTAATATATGTGTACCAGCTACACTGGCTCTGGACAGGGAACTCTAATATCTCAGTTCATCTGCAATTTTCACTCTTGACTTCTCAGTTAGTAGGTAGTTTGATAGACAGATTGCTATTTTAAATTCTAAGGAAAAATGGCAGTGTTCAAATTTCAGTGGCACTAAACAGTTCTGCCAGTAAGGAGTTTATTTGCAGAGTTTGCTAAATTCCTTTTTTTCTTTTTATTGGAATTAATATGACTTATTTTGTGAATAATGCTTATGAAAATGCGTCCCATTGAAGCTTTTATGCATTTTGAAGAGCTCTTAATACTGGGATTCAGTCCCAATCTCTGCAACCAACAGTTTAAGCTGTTGAATTTTGTATTGCTGGTCAGAACAGTAGTCCTGTGAGGAACATTTTAGTTGGTTCATATTCGTGTCCATTCCAAGCACAAATGTATAATAAGGATATAGACTGAACTATTTATACTCTGTGTATTTTTTCTCTTAGTCTGAGTTTCTCTAAGCCAGTAACCTTTGGAAGGTAGGTGTACAGTGTACATATAAGCAGAATTGCAAGATAGGTTTTTCATAGCTTTCTGTTTTCCCAAAAATATTTCCCTGCTCGGTAATATTTTTATCCTAGGAATGAGGAGCGATGCATTCTTAAACTACTTTATACCAAAAGGTCAGCTTTTTCTATTGGAATAATTGTTTCAAGCCAATAATTTGTTTGACTATTTAAAAACTTGATGTTATTTATTAACATTCCAGGCAGCAACAAAGACTGATGTGTTTTGCAGTAGAGCTTGGAATAATTTTCTGGGAACTGCATCTGAAAACAGTAAAAGGCCTATTTATATCAAGTGGAAGCTGAGGGTTGCTTGCAGATGGTGTTTTATTAGAAAATGTATTTGTTAATAAACGTAGCTTTCTGCAAGATTACTTTACAGATGTTTCTGTTTATTTTTACCTTGGGTTAAAAATCTGCTGGTGTAGATGACTTCGGAGTCTGCTGTGATTTGTCACTAGCATTGTTTGGCAAGTAAATAATTGCATGCAAAGGAAATAATGATGTTGCAAAAGCAAATACTTTTTTTCGCTCTTGCCATCTATTAACGCCATGAGTCAATAGAAGCACTTTAAAGTGCAGAATTAATGCAAAGTATTTTTGGAAATAAATGGTACCTTTTGCAATTTGTGTCAACTACTAAGAATGCATTTTTAATTTCTTTACTTTTTGAGTGAAATCCTGGCACTGTGAAATCAATTGAGTTGTTAACAATGTTTTTTGGGTGCAGAATTTCATCCACATTCTTCTTGCATAGCTCTAGGAGTCTCTGATATGAAGTGTTGTTTTTGGAAGGATTCCCGGTTGCAAAGATGAAAAATTGCATTATTAATTTGTTGCTATTTTAGTTTATATCCTGCATAATAAAAAGTATAGGTGTATAATTAATTTCACGTTCAGATAAATGGTAAACTCTAAGCAAATTAGAAATTAAAGTAGATAATAATCTTAAAGTAGTCTGCATTTTGAGAGCAAGTAGTAAGTTGAAGAGGGAAAGAAAATCCAAAGCTGTGACCAAATAACTTTTCCTTTCTGAGACAGAACATAGGACAATAGCCAGACTGATGGATCATTTACAGGCAAATCTCCTCCTGAGTTTGGAGAGTTGGATTTTTTCACCTGTGTCAGGACTGTGAACTTTGGCCCTCTGTGTTTTTTCACAGATGTGTATCCTGAATTTGATTTACCTTGCATTCAGTTATAAAACTCCTTCCAATCCAACATTATAGATAACTGGTTTAGTTTAAGCTTAATCAGAACTGACAGTGCACACCTGTGAAACCCATAACCTTTTCAGAATGACTGCAGTGAGTGGCTCTGTTGTAATCTTTATACAATTGATGTGGAGGCTTATGATCCTTTGGTGGTGCTTATCAATTTATGAACCTTCCCAAGCCACCTCGAGCTGTAGTGATCTGCTTGAAACAATTTTGTTCCTACTCCATAGGTTTCCATTTTAACACTGTTCCAGGTTGCTGCTGGCGATCTTCTTCAAGCTAGCAATAGGAGAATTGTTTTGTGGCATTTCTGCATAATTTGGACTGTCGTTTTCCTGTATATGTGAGTCCATTTTTTCCAAGTTCCTGAGTGTGTGCAGATAGAATGCACACTGAAAGGTTTTTAGTGATTCCCTCAAAGTTTTGCTTGTTCTTAAGATGAGGAATTCTGTAAAGAAATAAAATTCCTAGGTCATGGTCTTGCAATAATGGCATCCATTAGGGCATGCAGTGTTAGAAAAGAAAAAGACTGTTCTTGCTATCTTACAGAGAGAGAGGGGAGTAAGTAACCAAATATTTGAACAAGCAGATTTAAAAGAAGTGCTCAGACTGATGTGGAAATATGGTGTCATTTATCATGGCTTAATGGAATAAGATGTTGAGTGCCCTGGAAACGTTCTGCCATGTGTAAGGAAGTGATCAATTTTATAACATAATTTGTGTCACTTGAGGTGTTGCTCTAAGAATCTTTGCTCATTTGCTGGGCCCAATTCTGCCATCAGAGATGCCCATCCATCTTTCAGCTCCTCTGGAGCAGACAGCATTGTTAATGCCTCGCTGCTGGCGTGTCTCCGCCGGGCAAGGGATCGTGGGTCAGTGATTTCTGAGGTTGTGCAGATTCTCATTGAGCTCGCACAGACTCACCAGGTGGGGTCAGGAGGTGGTTAGCAGCTCTTATACACCTGTGGGCTAATCCTTGCCTCTGAGTGGGGGCTGCTGTGTGATTCACAGACCTTGGCTCGCCCAGAGTTAGTTCAGACCTGACTGCACCATGAGTGGCCATTTCTAGTAGAGAAATAGAAGTAGCAGAGCCTCTGTAAACTTTTAGTCATGCCAAGGAGAGGTTTCTTTGTGATTTTGTGATCCTATTGATTTCTTTTACCTTTTTGCTTTGTTTTTCATATCAGTATTGTTTTCTAAGGGTGAAGGTAAAACATTTTATGGTTTGCCTTGAGCTAAACCCAGTGTAACCAGTAGTGCCCAGGCCTGGGGGCCCCTGAGGTTCAGAAGCTGTGGAGCAAATTTTCGTGAACTGGGAAGCCATAGGGCCATCATGTGAGTTTCTGGGTCACATGCAGAAATCCACCAGATCTCATGACACAGAATTGATAGCAATGGCCTTGGATCTAAAACTGGGAGAGAAAATTATATAAAGCCTCAACCTGTAAACATTATTTGCTGTTCCTTTCCTGTTAACTCCTGTCTCTTTAGTATGTATTTATGTCATACTTACATTGCAATACGTATATATTCATTTTGAGCTTGCATTTAACTGATAAACTGTGGCAAGCCAGGAATATTGTGAAGAGCTTTTGTATTATGCAGAATTCCACCTACTTAAATCCTATGATGGCAGATGATTGTTACTTACCACTCGAAGAGAGCTGCATAGTTAAATCCTATGAATTTCTTCAAAAAAGTAGATGTTAGAGACCACAATAACAGCTGATCCTCTCTCTGCTGCTTTAAAATCCAGAATCTTGATACATCTATCTATATTTAAACCTCTAGGAATCAGATGCTTATAAATTATTTCAAATTGACTAACTCAGCAAGTGACAGCTGGAAGAAAGCCTGTACTTTTCAGATTGGGTTCAAGCACAAATTACTGGGAGCATTGAGTAAAGCAGAGAGTTTTAAGGTCTGTGGGAGCATCAGAAGCTGCATTCCTGGAAAACCTTATGCCCAGTCCCCCAGAACAATGCATGGATTTCCAATAATGGTTTAGAGATGGGGAATCAAGAGCAATTGAGATAATTTTTTATTCTCAAGGCAGTTTTTAAATCTCACTACAGAATTGGCTTCATGTTCCTGCAAAGTAGCAAATGCTCATGTACAAAAATTTCCCGAAAATACAAAGCTAGGAACAAATCCAAAAGGCCTACGAAATCTATGTCACTTTCCACTTAAAGAATAAAAAATTGAGAACTTCTATTTTCACTTTACTTCTAGGAAAATATTTTGACGGGTTCAGTATACTGCAAAGTGATAAGCTTCTGTTACGTGTTTCAAATCATTCTGTTATCGCTGCATGTATTGATTTGCTTAGTGCTTTCTGAGCTAGCTATAAAAAAGGCTGTTCTCCTTCTGCATTAAAGAGCAAGAAAAATTGACAGGTAGATAACCATATTGATTGAACCTAAATAGTAAATGCAAGAGGCTTATATATGACTTATAAAACTCTCTATAGGAACCAAAGCCAGCATAATATGTTTGGTTTGTTGGTTTTTTTTTTTTTTAATTTAATAGAAAGAAAGTAGATGCCTTTAACCAGCCCCACCCCTTTTTGATATACATGCTACTCTAGTTGCCAGCATAGTACATTACCATAGTTCTGGGCAAATCACTTTTTTCAAATGCCAGCTTTAGCTGTCCCCCTGACTTTGAGCTTGGAAGAGGAATGGACTGAATCACGCATTAAGATGAAATCCCTTTGCTTGGTTCATATTTCAAAAGTCTGAGGCCAAAAACAAAGCCAAAGAGCAGTATTTCTTGCAGTATTAGAGGTTACAGCCATATGTTTTTAATTTGTAAATACTGTGAGAAGTAATGTTCTTATGATACTTCTAAATGAAGACCATATGACACCACTCGACTGAAGACCTCTTATTGTGGCCTTTTGAAGGCTACTGTCCCATGGCCTGGACAATGGCTAAGCTAAAACAGCAAAGCTGTTTTGCAGCAAGAGGACA